TGTTGGTGTTTTTTCATCAGAAGCCCTGCTTCCTGGAGACTTTTGTACCACTTCTGGGGTATTTTTTATAAAAAACTGTCAGATGATTGTCTTTAGATACTTCCAGCGTTTTTTTTTTAATGGAAAAACGAAGAATGGTAAAATGTGATGGAACTGTGACGGGGTTTCCAGCAGATTTGCCACCAAATGATGCGGTTTTGGCCAAATCAGCCATAGAAATAGTAGAATAGAGGGATTGGACTTAAATGTGATGTGTAAGAAGACATTTTACGCGATGCATCTGCATTTATAATCCAAAGTGTTTTGGGAATTTTTGAAAAATGTGAACTATGGATGTTTATTTGGCGCTGTAGGCCAGCCGATGAAAGGGACACAGTCGAATATTGTCAACTGTGTGAAAGCAGTGATTGCTAATTCAGATACCCAGATAAGCGAGCCTGTATGTGCATTAGCTGTTGTCCGGTCAAAATTCTCCCGAATTAATAAGGCATTAGATTGGGAGCATTTATTTATGGGACAACAACAACGAGCAGTATTTTTCAGTGGTAATCGAAGTGAATTGTATGCGCGCCTGAAGAAGCATTTCCGAAAAGAATTTACAATCATAAAAAATGGTGATACGAGACGATACAAAACTGAAATGTATTATGACTACTTTGTGGTACTCCTCTTCCTCTTCTGCTTCCGTTGATATTTTTATTATTTATTTAGCAAGACCAGGAAAATTTTTTAATTAGGCTGTTACTGCCTTTTACTTGCAAAGCTCGCTAAATTGGGCGCATCTTTTGCAGGTAATGGATTTTGAATGCACATGCGAAGCGGAACTCTATGATTATGAGCATGAAATTATCGAATTTCCGGCTATACTTGTCGATGTACACAGAAGAGAGATCGTAAGTTCGTGTTCATAAGATTATCGCCTTAAAACAAGAAAATGCGTTCTAGTTTCCTGGGACAACCGATGTGCTTGTTAAAGAATTATTCCCGGGACACAAGTACTCACTCAAGGAATGTAACGCAGGGCACAGGGACCTGGTATACTTTCTTAAATCCCTTCTTAAACTTTTATTATAAGGTCAATATTGAATTCTTTTTTTTTCTTACTTCCTTCTTACCTCATTCATATTCCTATTATTCCCACTATCATAGCTTTTCCCTTTCTTTCATTTCTACTTTCTTTTCCTCATTAGGCATCGCAACCGTCATACTGACGAGGTCCTATCGTGTGAAGTTGAGTTAAGGCATATATGACTTGATGAGCCGAAAGGTCTTATCTCACTCTTGTCTCCTTCTCTCATATTGAAATCTGTCGCTCCTTCGCCACTTACACTTCCAGGATCAGTCAGATGCTACCCTTAGCATATTTGCGCTCGCGTACTGTTGCAGGCCAGTAATATCTCTAACATTGATGATTTTCTAATAACAAAAATTATCATATGTGAACACATCCTATAGATAGGAAAATTGCGTGAGTAGTCTTTTTTCCCACGAATTTGGCTTTTTTTTTTCGTTGAATTTTGCTACTTATCGAATCAGGTTGCTTACTGGTGGATGTGGAAACAGTCCTGTGTTTTACGACACTTTTACACGCTGTGACGACAGAGTTTAGGATTGCAAAATTATCTTGTATTTTTCTAAATCAACGATAAACTGCTTTAAATTGGAGGAGGGGTAAAGGAGGCCAGAAGATTTGCATGAAGTTTTTATGCTCAGCATGAAACTTGAAAATTAGCAGTCTTGAAAGCGGCACCTAAAACTTTACAGTGGAAAAAAGGCCGGTGCTACGATTTTTGCAGCTCGAATCTGAACTGAAAAACGCGTAAAAACAGGTGCATATTGCGGGGCCGAGCCGAATTTTAGTATTTGCCGCAAATTTAGCACACATAAAACAAGGAAGAATTCCTCGTTGCGTCCATTTTTTTCAGATTTATTCCCATTTTTTTCCACCGTAGCTAATAAATCCTACTTCATGAGCATAGCTTGCCTTTTTCCTCCTTCCTTGCCTCTCGTTATTCCCACTCCCCACCTCTACCCTGTCCCCTTTCCTCTTTCTTCCCTTCACCCCTCTCCTCGTGCCGCTACCTCTCCCCTTTTTTTTAAGGGTAAGCAAAAATGCGACTAGAAAAAGTAAAAAGAGGTAATGAAGTAAATGAAAAGAATG